CATATATATATAAACTAGATAAACAACAAGTTTATACTATATATATATATACACACACACACACACACGCAGACACACACACATATATATACATGTTTTTTTTTCCAGTATCTTGTAGTAACTTATGGTGAAAAAGCATATGTAAACGAATATACGTATGTTCATGTATGACTGAAGCATTACACTGAACACCAGAAACTGACATGACATTCTATATCGACTATACTTCAATTAAAAAAAAAAAAACTAAATAGATTCGGGGGGAAAAAAACTAACTTTACACTTCAAGGAACCAGAAAAAGAACAAACTAAGTTCAACAAAATTAAACAAAGGAAAGAAATAACAAATTTCAGAGAAGTAATGAATGAAATAGAGACTAGACAGACAACAGAAAAGATCAATGAAACTAGGAGCATTTTTTTTAAGATAAACCTTTAGCTAGACTCTCCAAGTAAGAGAGGACTCATATAAAATCAGAAAAAAAAGACATTACAAGTGACACCACAAGATACAAAGGATCATGAGAGACTACTACAAACTATACACCAGCAAACTGGACAACCTAGAAGAAATGGATACATTCTTAGAAACATACAACCCACCAAGACTGAATTATGAACAAATTGAAAATCTGAACAGACCAATTACTAGAAAGGAGACTGAATCAGTAATCAAAAACCTCCCAAAAAACAAAACCCATGAGGACCAGATGGCTTTGCTGGTGAATTTTACAGAACATTTGAAAAAGAATTAGTACCAATCCTTCTCAAACTTTTCCAAAAAAGAGAGAAGAGAGCACTTCCAAACTCATTTTACAAGGCCCATATTACCTTGATACCAAAATCAGACAAGGACATCACAAGAGAAGAAAACTAAAAAACCTATATACCGGACAAATACCAATGCAAAAATTCTCAACAGAGTATTAGCAAACAACATATTTAAAGGATCATACACAATGATCAAGTGGAATTTATCTGTAGGATGCACACACATGTGCAAATCAATGCAATATACCACCATAACAAAATGAAGAGAAAAAAATACAATCTTTTCAACAGATGTAGAAAAAGCTTTTGACAATATTCAACATTCACTCATGATAAAACTCTCAACAGTGGGTATAGAGGAAATTACCTCAATATAATATAGGCCATATATGAAAAGCCCACAGCTAACATAATACTCAAGGGTGAAAAACTGAAAGCTTTCTAAGATTGCCACTTCTATTTAACATAATATTGAAAGCCCTAGTCAGGGCAATTAGGCAAGCAAAAGAAATAAAAGGCATCAAATCAGAAAGGAAGAAGTAAAACTATTTGCAGATGACATATTATACACAGAAAACCGTAAAGACTCCACCAAAAAACTATTAGAACTAATAAACAAATTCAGCAAGGCTGTAGGATACAAAGTCAACATAAAAAAATCAGTTGCACGGTAATGAATTAAGAGAAAGAAAAATTAAGAAAACAATCCCATTTATAACTGCATCATAAAAAATAAAATACCTAGGAATAAATTTAACCAAGAAGGTGACAGACACATAGACTGAAAACTGACACTGATGAAAGAAACGGAAAATACAGATAAATGGAAAGATAACTGTGCTTTGGAAGAATTAACATTGTTAAAATGTGCATACTACCCAAAGCAGATTCAGTGTAATCCCTATCAAAATTTCAATGTCATTTTCCACAGAAACAAAACAATCCTAAATTTGCACAGAAGCACAAAAGCCCCAAAGTAATCTTGGAACAAAGCTGGAGGCATCATGCTTCCTGATTTCAAACTATACTACAAAAAAAGTTATAGTAATCAAAACAATATGGTTTTGGCATAAAAACAGACACAGATCAGTGGGACAGAGAGCCCAGAAATAAGCCTACACATATATGGTCACTTAATTTATGACAAAAGAATCAGGAATATACAATGGGGAAAGAACGGTCTCTTCAATAAATGGTTTTGGGAAAACTGGACAGCCACATGCAAAGGAATCAAACTGGACTGCTATTTTACCCCATACACAAAAATCAGCTCATAATGGATTAAAGTCTTGAACATAATACCTGAAACCATAAAATGAACTGAAATTCCTAAATAAACATAGGTGGCAAGCTGCTTGACATAGGTCGTGACATGGTATTTTGGATTTGAGAGAAAAAGCAACAAAACCAAAATAAACAAGTGGGACCAAATCAAACTAGAAATCTTCTGTACAGCAAAGGAAACCATCAACAAAATGAAATGCAACCTATAAAATGGGAGAAAATATTAGCTCATATATCTGATAAATGGTTAATATCCAAAATATATAAACAATGTATAAGTTATGTAAAGTAACTCATAGGAAAAAATACTTGACTAAAAATGGGTTTTTTTTTAACTGGATGTTTTTCCAAAGACATACAAAAGGCCAACAAGTACACGAAAGAGTGTTCAACATCACTAACCTTCTGGGAAATGAAAACCAAAACCACAATGAGCTATCACTTCACATCTGTTAGAAGAGATACCCTCAAAAAGACAAGAGATAACAAGTGTTAGTGGGGATGCAGAGAAAAGGGAACCCTTGTGCACTGTTGGTAGGAATGTAAATTTCTAACCACTACAGAAAACAGCATGGAGGTTCCTGAAAAAATTAAAAACACAACCACCACATGATCTAGCAATTCCACTTCTGGGTATTTATCCAAAGAAAATGAAATCACTATCTTAGAAAGACATTTGCACCCCCATGGTCACTGCAGCGATATTTACAACATCAGACATGGAAACAACCTATGGGTCCATTGATAGATGAATGTATAAATTAAATATATATATATATATTATATATATATTATACACAAACACACACTGGAATGGTATTCAGCCATAAGACAAAGAACGAAATCCATTTGCAACAACATGGATGGACCTTGAGGGCATTATGCCCAGTGAAATAAGGCAGAGAAAGACAATTACTAAATGATCTCACTTACACGTAGAATCTGAAAAACTCTCAACTCATAGAAATAGAGTGTCATGGTGGTTGCCAGGGTTTGGGGGCTGAAGGAAATGGGGAGATTTTGGTCAAAGGGTACAAACTTTCAGTTATAAACGAAATAAGTACTGAAAGTGTAATGTACAGCTTGGTGACTATAGTTAACAATACTGCATTGTATAATTCAAAGCTAAGAGAATACATCTTAAAAGTTCTCATCACAAAAAAATTTGTAACTATCTGTGGTGATGGATGTCAACTAAACTTATGTGACCATTTTGCAATACATATAAATGACAAATCATTATGTGTGCACCTAAAACTAATACAATGTTATAGCTCAATTTAAAAAAATCACCCTCTGAAATGTAAGGATGATGCTGACAAGATAGGTATTTCTCAAGTCTTCTTCAAAAAAGTGTAGCTTCAGAAAGAATGGACTGTGAGCAACTTATTTTGTAAGCTGCATGATCAAGGTAATGGTGATTTTGGGAACTGGTAAAATTGGATTTAAAGTAAGACTTTGTCAGTGTTCACCATGTCGAGTAAGTATTAGTGAGAAGGTATTTGAATTCAGGTCACCTGACTACTTACTTATACAAAAATGCCTCTCGCACAAAGACAACAAATTAGGCTTTGCAAGTTTAAGTACAAATCTTTCAACAGATTTTTCCCCTTGTGCCAAAAGGGAAGAGCGCTTTCCTCCCACTCTCTTTTCTTACAATATTTCCTTGAACAAAGTTCTAATTGCAATTCCTTTGCCTCTTTTTAAAAGCTGAATAAGCTTCTTGCCAGTTTATAACCCAAGAAAATCTTTCTTAGGGGCTTTGGCATCACCTGTTTGAAATTTAAACATTAAGGAAGATGGAGCCTCCATCTGCCTGTCTCTGAGACACCTGGATCCACGTTGTAACTACGTGGTTATCATTAAAATATTGAGAAGTCTTATTTTTCCTTTGGATAAATGCAGTTAGCTAATACAAATAACCATCCTCATGACCAGTGAATTTAGGATGAACTATGTGTAGGAAATGGTTCGTCAAGTCCCCTTAAGGACATATTATTGGTCACCTTGAGGGCATGTACTTAATATGAATAGGTTATATCTGCCTGGGTACATTAAGGGTTGAGGATTCTTTCTGTCTTTGTAAAACCATTAGCAGATTGCCTGTGATAGAAGTAGCAATCTGGTGTCACGTTTATTCAATAATAAAGCTGTTTAGTTGTTTCCTACATTTGTGAAGAGGAGTTTCTTAGTTGGCATTTTATTTTTGTAACAGCTTCCATGACCTGAAATATCGCTCCACAACATTCAGTTAATGGTTAGAATTCTGAACGCACCAATTAACTGTTGGATAAAACTTAATTACGTACTTGTCCTCCAGGAAAGTGTCCGCCATGCATACAACTCTACTAATTTGATATATACAGTTATATCCATATCTCCAAGAGCTCTCCCAAACTTTGCATACATATACCACGGTGACTTTAAAGTACCTCCCCTTTGAGTCTGGGCCAGGTCCAAGCACAACTGCCCCTTTGGCGTTCCTTTTTCCAAGCTAACTGCACGCAGAATTTCATCTATCGCTCCAGGCCCCACAAAACTCTGTGCACAGCGGGGAATCTCTTTGGTAACACAGAGACCGGGATCAAGCTTCAACAGAAGCAGCAGCAACCAACATGCTTTTGAGAAACTTAATCCTCTGCTGTGACGCCAGACTCAGGCAGGAAAGTTTGGGCAATTTTTCATCCCGGGATTTTGAACAAAGAAATGGCGGCAGAGAAGCAGCTGTGAATACACTAACCCAATCAAGTCGAAGGTCCGCCAGCTGCACCTGGGCTTCCCGACATCGCCCTTCTCACCAGCGTCCCTCCCTCCCTCTCTGGCTGGGTTCTTTATTTTACTCCAGCACTGGAAAGCCAAGGGCGCCAGCGGCGTCTTCAACCCCCACCCCTGGGAAGGCCCGTGTCCCAGTCCCCACCCACCTGCAGGGCGCCCCAAGGCCTCACCTGCGGACCGCGAAGGGCGCAGCCGAAGCCGGCGG